GTGTGAGAACTGGACCATAAAGAAGGCTGAGCAGTGAAGAATTGATGCCTTTGAACTGTGGTGCTGGAGAAGACTCTTAAGAGTCCCCTGGACTGCTAGGAGGTCAAACCAGTCAATCTTAAAGGAAATCAATCCTGATTGCTCATTGGAAGGATTGATAATGAAGCTCAAGCTCAGATACTTCGGTCACCTAATGCGAAGAGAGGACTCTTTGGAAAAAACTGTGATGCTGGGAAAGATTGAAGGCAAAAGGAGAAGGGGACAGCAGAGGATGAGATGGTTAGATAGCATCACTGAAGCAATGAGCGTGAAACTGAGCAAACTCAGGGAGGCAGAAAAGGACAGGAAGGCCTGGCGCGATATGGTTCATGTGGTCACGAAGAGTTGCACATGACTTAATGACTGAACAACAAAAAGATAGTGGCCATTTGGGAAGAACATTTATTTCTCCCCAAATGACCAAAGGGGGGAATATGATGTCAGCAATATGGGACTTAATTGATAGAGTTGAAGTCAGGCCGGGGTCGTAAACTATTGGACTTACACCCCTCACCAAAGCATGTCAGCAATAAACTTTCAGGCTTGCATTTCTCACCGGAGCATGTAAACAATAAACTACCAGACTCGCATTCCACAACAGAGTGTGGCATCAATCTCAGTTTTAAGGTTGCAAATTGGCTGGAGTGGGAAGATTTAATTAGATATGGTAAATAGCGGTCAAGTCCGGGGAATCCGAAGGAGGAAAAGACAGAAGAAAAGAAGCAGATGTGAAACTAGATAAGACTCGAAGCAACATTGTAATGGACACTGGCACATATATTTTAAAAATGTGTAGTGATGGGATGTTAGTTGCTGAGTGTGCATGCTCAACAGTGTAACCAGTCATGAAGTTTCTGATAATGATGCTGTCTTTGAGAAGTATAAAAGGTTAATGTTTCCTATTGTTTGGGGCTCTCTTCTTGGGAAGGAGTCCTCAATTACTAAGGTGCCTTAATAAATGA